CAACTAACAGTTTATTGTAATTTGCACAAGCTAGAAATGTTCTTGTTCCCCATTCACCAAATTGGTAGCAAAAAGTTCTTAGGAAAAGAAAATTATACTCTCTAGGAATGTGTAGGATCTTCTTTAGCTATGCTCTCATCTATACTACAATATGCTTACGAATCTGCATTTAAAGTCTAAAAAACTGTGCACTGTATTTCCAATCGCGATATCTTTTAGAAACCGCGGTCATCAACGCATTATTCATCTTTATGAAGAATTGATAATAGTTATTCTCGTCATAGTGATAGGCGTTCTCAATGCGACATTTGTCTCGAATAATGTGAGTATTTACTACCATGTTTCAATTTTAAAAAAAAGAGAAGAACCAGGGTAGCTATAATGATATAAAAAGACTTTTGCAGAAAATTTGCAAGATTGTTGCTATCTTGTCGCAGTTCTTCATGGTTTTATTGAACGCTACGTTCTTAATGGAAGCAATCTTTGCGAATTCGTGAGTGAAAGCCTAGATTTTTTATACACTGTTGATTAACATTGGTAATAATAAAATAAGATTTCAAGAGAACGAGAAATATTTAAAATAAGGACAAGCAAAATCGATAATCAATGGACTGAATTTGCCTTAGAATTATTTATCTTTCTTTTCTTTTCTTCCTTGATTTTGAGCCACATTACCTCTATATTATTTTATTGAGTACGGTGGAAATAGTTGCCTACTGACCTAAAATCTCTTCCGAACATGTTGCAGCATGGTTCATGCAAGATGCAAAAAGGATGGAATTGTACCAGCTGTTTTGAACTATCTTTTGCCGATTCCTATTGCTTTGGCACCCACAATTGTGACATACCTTACCCTTAAGGATCATTATGCGCTTTCTCTACAGTTGTGAGTTTCTTCACCTTTTCAAAAAAAAACTGGCTTAAAATAGAACCAAAAAATATGATTTTGGCATTAATAATCATCATTAATTTGGGGATGGCCTAAATCCATAAGTTTGGAAGGGACCAAAATTAATTTATTCAAGTTTTTTTTGCATGATGAGCACTAATTAGACAACTCTCACAAGTGAGAATATAGAAAATAAAAGGTTTCTCAAAGTTTACAGTTCCGCAGCCAATAAAATTCTATAACCTTGGAATTTAGGATTTGAAATGCAATGCACCAATTTAAAGTAAATTCCAATTTCAAATTTTCTTAATTTTGATATCCAATAGCACACTAACAACAAATGCAAACACATAAAGAAAAGCACGCCGTACCAGTCATTTCACCGTTTAATGCCTTCATAAACAGCAATGAAGGCAACCGCTCTGCGATCTGTACGCGTCGCGGCGTTCGCATATTAGCGCATTTAGCTGTGAAAAATTTAACGGGGCAATGATAGTAGAAATGCAATTTTCAGACGAAGATTATGTCGTAAAATTTTTTAGAAACTTCCTCATATTCATTCTGTTTTCTAATTATAGTGGGAAAAAATATT